TCAACCTCAGCCGAAGCAACTTCTTCCTAGAAACATCGCCAAAGGCAAGGGAAGAAAGGGCAAAAATGAACTATTGGGACTTCAAGATAAAAAGCTTTTGCGGGCGCCTGGGTGGCTCAGTTGGTTAAGCGACTGCCTTCGGCTCAGGTCATGATCCTGGAGTCCCTGGATCAAGTCCCGCATCGGGCTCCCTGCTCGGCAGGGAGTCTGCTTCTCCCTCTGACCCTCCCCCCTCTCATGTGCGCTCTCTCATTCTCTCTCTCTCAAATAAATAAATAAAATCTTAAAAAAAAAAGATAAAAAGCTTTTGTACAGCAAAAGAAGGAGTCATCAAAACCAAAAGACAACCGACAGAATGGGAGAAGATATTTGCAAATGACATATCAGATAAAGGGTTAGTATCCAAAATCTATAAAAAACTTATGATATGATATCATCATATCATCATCATATCATATTACATCAAAAACTGATGATGTAATGTATGGTGATTAACATAACAATAAAAAAGTAAAAAAAAATAAATTAAAAAACTAAATTAAAAATAAAATCTTCCTGGGCACCTGGGTGGCTCAGTCAGTTAAGCGACTGCCTTCGGCTCAGGTCATGATCCTGGAGTCCCAGGATCGAGTCCCGCATCGGGCTCCCTGCTCGGCGGGGAGTCTGCTTCTCCCTCTGACCCTCCTCCCTCTCATGCTCTCTGTCTCTCATTCTCTCTCTCTCAAATAAATAAATAAAATCTTAAAAAAAAAAAATAAAATCTTCCTTGTTCCCTTTGCCGGTATTCTTGCTCCTCTCTTAATGGTTTGAATGAAACGTTTATTTTTTCTCCTCTTCTGTCTTGATCTTTTGTATCCATTTCTATTACTTTCCTCATTTCTTTGCTCTCTGTTTCTATACTGATTTCTGTTCCATGTGACTTCTTGTTGATGTTTTCTTTGATTTCTTTCTGAATATCCTTGATTATATTCTCTATTCCCTCTTTTTTGATAATTCCGTGTCCTGTATTTGTCAAATGGTCTGTTTGTTTTGTTTCCAGATACCTGCACAGTGGTATTAAATGTAAACCTTCTGTTGTGGTCTGTCTCTCTCAGCGGATGATTGCATGTATGTTCGTTTGTTTGAGCAGGGCATGCAGGTGCCCTTGAGGGCTTAGATATGTCCTCAGCATGTGATTGCTGTGTTTCCTGAACTATAAATGTTATCTTATGTGTGCCTGATAATTCAGCTGATAATCTGAATGTATTTAGTACATCTTGCATGGTATGGCATCCTGCCAGTGCATTCATAAATGAAATATTTGTTTTCTGGGGCTCCTAACAGAGGTACTCTTTTAATCTCATTAGCGGCAGGCACCTCAAAGGGTGTGGTGAATCTTCCCTGAGTGTCATATATCATTGCCAGAATAGCCAATTTCTGGCAATGTAATTGAGCCTGCTCTAAGTCAGTCCAATTTCATCTATCTCCAGATTTAGTGGGATCTAGATAAGAGTTTACCCTTCTCCATGCCAAAGCAATCCAATCCCAAAGGGATAGAATTTTGGTGGCTTATTTTGCCTTCATTTCCTTGGTTTAAACGGGGTTTTCAGCTAAAGAAGATACCTGATGCATCTCTTTGCCTGATAATGCTATTGTATTTGCCCCATTATCCCATACATGAAGCAACCAGTCTACATCAGATACATGTTTTTGACAAAAATCTGTTCTAATCTTCTGAAGTTCAGCACAAGTGTATTCTCTGTCCTCTGCTGCTTCCACAGGTTTTCCTTATCCATTACTGTAATCTAATACTTTCTTCCTGGTAATTATAGGTCTGCTGTGATAATCCATCCCCCCCCCCCCCAGGGGTTATCATAGTCTCCTGGATCCTCAGGATAGGGGTTCTGGGGTCCCAATGGTTTATCGTTCTTTAAATTTAAATTATGCATTAATTTGGCCTTCCTTATTACTTTATTAGCTAGCTCTTTGCCCCTTTGTCCTGGTCTAACTGCAAGATGGTTTTCATAGATAAGATGGGAAACCCTTCAGTGGGCACCCAGGACACTAAGGGCTTTACAGTTTTAGAATCCTTCAGATCCATGATTATATCTCCTGGGGTCCTGGTTGTGAGCTTCTTTCTAACTTCTAACTCCGTTGGGTACCATGGGTCTTCTACACAAAGTATGGTGTCGGGCCTCTTGGCCCTTTTCACCATCCCTTTTAGGCATTTACTTAGTGCACACATCTTTCTTCATTTTTTGTAACCTAGTAGTGGCTATATATAATTTCTTAACTATGGAGAGTTCTATTTCCCACTTATACCGTAGGATATTTATACAGATTTTTCCACAATTTTTGTTCACGTCTTTCTGCCAAGTTACAGATTAATTTGGCCAGTAGTGGCATGTATCTTTGCAATGTCTCCAAATAGTTTAATTTTTCTTAGCCTTCCAAGTGCCTTTCTGAGGCAGTCTCCCTTGGTCTCAGCTTTGGCTAGTTCCACCGCATGCCCAGCATGCAAAGGGGTAAGCCCTGGACCAGCTTCCGTTGCTGACTGCTCCCTGCATAGAGCCAGTTTCACTTTCACCTGCCTGTGATACCTTAGGATTTCACTCTCAATGAGATGCCTGGAAAGTCTATATTCACATAAATTTATTCCCCAATTTATTATTTTTAAGTTTGGCTATAGTCAATTCAAGCAAGACTTTAGGAGTCTTTTCTGATTCTTTTAAATTTTCTAACACATGATGAGTCAATGACATGGATCCTGCTGACTACACGAGTTGTGTCTTTCCACAGTGTCAGCTTTATTCAGTCCTAAAGCAAAGTTAAATCACAATTAGAAAGCAGGTTCGGGATTCCAGGCTCGGTTCACCATGTGATTAAACCTGGCTTCTTACACAGCACCCAGAGCAGGAGAGAAGACAAGCCACACACCGAACAAGGTAACAGAAGGTGCAGGAAGTGAACGAACCAAACTCAGTCAGGCTGTGGGCGTGTGGTTGAGCCAAGGCCTCGGCCTGGTCCGGGTCAGCTCTCCGCACTCGGCTTCTGGTGTTCTGGCGGCGAAGACCTCGGTTCTGCTCGGAGACCCCGGGGATCAGCGGGGCAGAGCCTTCCGTGGCCATTGCCTTTCTCGAGTGGCGAGACCGAGGGGCCAGGTCTGAAGAGTCCGCCAGTTCGCTGCCCAAATCCTTCCCTTCTTAAAGGGATTTACTCCGTTTGGGGTCTCTGCAGACCTCCTCTGGTTCTTCGTGATCAGTTGTGGGGTGTCGGCTGACGTGGGTCCGGGCGATACCTCGTAGCTGCCGGACCTTGACGCAGGCTCCTGCTTGATGTGAGAGACTCCATTTTGTTCTCTACAGTAAGGAATTCCTCGGTATTTGGAAAAAAGTAGAAAAAGGAAAAACATGCATATGTTAAAATTTGTGTTCTTTTATCTGTAAGAGAGCACTATTTTTCTTATATGATTTTATGAAAAATTTTATGCCACTTGTTTGCAATTTTGAATTACATTCTTTTATAACAAGTGGTCTTGTGAGACTATTTTTCTAAGGAGAAACGTTTTTGTTTTTTTTTCTGATTTTAAGAGTTATCTGGGGCACCTGGGTCGCTTAGTCAGTTGGGTGTCTGACTCTTGATCTCAGCTCAGGTCTTGATCTTAGGGTCATGAGTTCAAGCCCTGTATTGGGCTCCACGCTGGGCATGGAGTCTACTTAAAAAAAAAAGTAACCTGTGTTTTTTATACATAATTTAACAATACCAAAGTATAGACAGTACACAGTGAAAGATGCCCTATCATTTTACCCTCCTTAGGTAGCCACTGCTGATAATTTAACTTTACGTACTCTTTCCTATACAAATGTGAATGCATGTGTATATGTGTGGTGTATGAGTGTGTGAACACAGGGGCGCCTGGGTGGCTCAGTCGTTAAGCATCTGCCTTCGGTCTTGATCCCAGGGTCCTGGGATCGAGCCTCCATTGGGCTCCCTGCTCCACAGAAGCCTGCTTCTCCCTCTCCCACTCTCCCTGCTTGTGTTCCCTCTCTCGCTGTGTCTCTCTCTGTCAAATAAATAAATAAAATCTAAAAAAAAAAAAAAAGTGTGTGAACACAGATACACTTATTTTTACTACCTGCTTTTTTCAGTAAGATACCACAGACTTTATTCTATAGTTCTACATGGTTAAACAGTTAGTGCTGTTTTGTGTGGCTCTACCATAATTTCTTTATTGAGTCAACTAATGATGGCCATTTAGGTTACTTCTAATTTTTGTTTGTAAGTGGAATTGTTGGGACAGAGTATTGCATGTTAAAAATTTTGACACGCATTTTACATACCTTCCACAAATGTGCCGCTCTGTACTTCTACCAGCAGTGTAATAAGGATACTTATATACTAATATAATATTAATAATATTATATTATTATTAATATTATATATTAATATATATAATATAATTATTATAATAATATATACTAATATACTAATATTAGTATAAGGATACTAATATAACACTTGATAGCAAGTGTTATAATCCTCGTTAGTCTGATAGGCGTAAAGTGCTTTTTTTAAATTTTCTAAGATCTTATTTATTTATTAGAGAGAGAGAGAGTGGGCATGAGCAGGTGTGGGGGAGAGGGGCAGAGGGAGAGGGAGAAGCTGACTCCCCCCTGAGCAGGGACCCCGATGTGGGACTCCATCCCAGGACCCTGGGATCAGGACCTGAGCCAAAGGCAGACGCTTAACCGACTGAGCCACCCAGGCGCCCCAGATGTCAGGTGCTTTTAAAGTTTTAATTTGCGTTTCTTTTGGTTATCAATGAGGTTATATTTTTTTCATTTTTTGTATTTCATGACTCTTATTTGTTGCCTGTTATCAGACTTTGTTCATATTTCTATTGCTTATCTAATCTTTTGTTGTTAGAACTTTTTATAGATATAAATACTGTGGCTTCAAGTTTGATTAATTTGTGGAGATTGTCCTGATATTCCTGTTTAATTTGGATTTTATTACCGTAGTTCCTTCCAGGAGGTACTTTATGCCGAGGAAAAACCAATGAGTGTGATGTTCCAGAGTATTGCAATGGTTCTTCTCAGTTCTGTCAGCCAGATGTTTTTATTCAGAATGGATATCCTTGCCAGAATAACAAAGCCTATTGTTACAATGGCATGTGCCAGTATTATGATGCTCAGTGTCAAGTCATCTTTGGCTCAAGTAAGACATTTTAATTATAATTTATTCCTTTGATTTGATTTGATTTTGTGCTTTAGTTTTTGTTAAAAATGGAAAGAAAACATTATTGATAAAATTTAAATTCTCCTGTTTTCTCTCTCTTGTTATATCTCCCTCCTTCCTTCTCCATGAGCAGTCCTGTTCATGAATTTGATATGTGCAAATTCAGTTGATGATTTTTGCTTTTACTCCCTCTCTTTTTATCACCTTTCTATTCTATATATGTAAACAAAATAAATAAATATATGTTTACTTAGTATCACGTTCTAGTTTTAATAATTTCATATAAATAGTATGGGTATATACATATGGATCTGCTAGTTTCATTGCTCAGTCAAAATGTTTTTGACACATTTGATTACAATATCAATATAGTATGATACATTTAGATCTTAGTATATTAGAGTATTTCATTATGTAAATAGAATCCATTCTCATACTGATGGATATTTAGGATGTTTAAAAGTTTTTCCTGTTTTCTCTATTTAAAGTTTTCATTTTTATCAAAGTTATACATGCATATAAAGAGCCAGATTTTTTTTTATAAGGTTTTATGAAAAAGTGTGCTTCCACCTAATATCCCCATTCATTGGGGCAACCACTTTTCACTTTTTCTAGCTGATTATTCTGTTACTTGCTTCAGGTCTTTAGATAATCTCTTGGAAATGCCATTTTTTGATTTTTCCATTCTAGGTATTAACCATTAATTTCTCACTATGGAAGATGAGAATTTACAGTTCTTTCCTTCTTTCAACCCTTGTCAACTCCCATCATATTCATGGTCTTTTTCCATTCTTCATTCTTTTAATATGGATGAATTGTTATGATTTTAGTTAAAGCATGGCGGATTGTTGTGATACTGTGATTTATAATTAGAGAAATGTATTTGATCTTCTTCCAGTTCTTGGCATCAAGCTTCTAAAACCCTTGGAATTTCCTAAGTGATGAGAGCTACAAATGTGTCTTTTGTTATGTTAGTAAAATGCCGGTTGGAAAGCTCCTAGGTAAACCAAGGGTGGGGGCTGGTTGCCCACGGAACCAACCATTGTGATGAGAGGGTTGGAACTTTCAGTTCCCCCACCTCCAGGGAGGGGAGTGGGGGCTAGAGATTGAGTTAATCACTAATGGCCTGTGGTTTAATCAACCATACCTATGCAGTGATGCCTCCATAGCCACCCAAAAGGATAGGTTTCTGAGAGCTTCCGGCTTGGTGAACAAGTGGATATTCTGGGAAAGTGTTGTACTTGGAGAGGGTATGGAAGTTTCAGGCCCCTTTCCTCATACCTTCCCCAGTGCATCTCTTTCATCTGGCTGTTCCTGAGTTATATCATTTACAAAAATCAGTAATCTAGTAAGTAAAAATGTTTCTTTGAGTTCTGTGAGCTGCTCTAGCAAATTAATTGAACCCAGGAAGGGGGTTGTGGGAACCTCTGATCTACATATAATTACAAATACATTTATAATAAAAAGGAGGAAATATTCATGACAATTAAAGTCCTAGTTTCTGTAACTGGTCATGTGGTCATAGCTGGTAATTTTTAACAACTTTCTTCATTATTCATTCCATATATCCTTTGTCTTTAGCAGGCACCTCAGTTGTTCCTGGTTTTTAACATGTGGAGTGACCCAAACCTTCATTCTTGAAGGCTCTGGGCTGTCCAGCCTGGATTGGGTTGCTGTAGTTTTCCATTGGCCTTAATCACAGGGCATAGTAATACCAAGAGTCACCCTACAGGATCTCCTGTGTTTCACACGTATTCTTCCTTATCTCCATCGTGCAGTAGCAGTCCAGCACTACTCTGGCACAGTGGAGTAGAGGTCCAGTTTCCCCGTTAGTAGTCAAGTTCAGTCACTGTATCCATCACGGTAACTCCCTTCTTTGCTTGTTCATTCAGAGGCAGGAGAAGTGTAAAATGGCTGGGTGTAAGTCTTAACTTCTAGCTCAGTAGAATCATTGTTGTGCTCCTGATGGAAGCATTCCTCTTGGAACTAAGACCTCTAGGCTAGCAGGAGCACAAGGTGGTAGGAACAGGAAGCAAAAATTTTGCTAGATGGTCACTAGGAGAAATAGTGGTGCCACTTTCACTTCTACCTCATGATTCCTGAATCAGCGGGGCCTGATAGAACAACTTATCCTTCACTTTTGAAGGGAAATCTAGATATGTCCACGCTACCAGCCCCTAGAAATTTCACTGAGGTGGAAGACTCCTGATTTTTTTCTCAGATTTGCTTTCCACCTCTGACATGCAACTGTCTTACCAGTTAGGCTGCAGTATTGCTACTTCTTGCACACTAGGTTCAGTGAGAATAATGTCATCAGTGGAATGGGCCAAAGCGATATCTTGTGGAAGGAAGAGTTGATCAAGATCCCCCCAAACTAAATTACGAGGTAGGGCTGGAGAGTTGCTGTACCCCGAGAGGGGACCGTGAAGGTGTATTGCTGGCCTTGCCAGCTGAAAGCAAGCTGCTTCTGGTGGCCCTTATTGGCCAGGGTGGAGAGAACCGTATCTGCCAGTTCAGCAGCTGCGTACAGGGCACCAGGATTTACGTGAATTTGCTCAAGCAATAGAACCACAGTAGCTACAGCAGGAGTTACACTCCCCAGCTGCTTAAGCTTCTGATAATCCACTGCTGTTCTCCAAGATCTGTCTGTCTTCTGCACAGGCCAGATAGCTTAGTCGAACTGGATTCTCTCTCCAGTCCTTATTGGTGGTATTGACTCTGCAGTGCTTTCTGGGTTGTGGTATTTATTCCTTTTGGTTTACTATTTTCCTAGGTAGTGGCAGTTCTAGTGGCTTCCAGTCGGCCTTTCCTGCCATAATCGCCCTGACTCCACAGGTCAGGGAGCCAGTGTGGGGATTCTGCTAGTTGCTGATTATGTGTGTTCTAGTCATGCATTCTGGAACTGGGGAAATAAGCACAGGATGGGTTTGGGACCCACTGGGCCCCCTGTGAGTGAGGAGAACCTGAGCCGAAGCTCCATTGACCAGCTGACCTCCATAGCTCCCTACTTTGACTGGTAGGCCACCGTGATGTTTTGGGTCTCCTGGATTCAGTGTCCAGTAGTTCAGAGCCAGTGTCCAGTAGTTCCTGAGAGGTCTGATGATTTTCCTTTTGCACAATGCCCAGTTACCCTGGTAAATGACCTTAGGTCCTGTTGGGGAAGGATGGGAGAAAGATTAAGAGTATACCTTTTTGGCAGTGTATCAGGGTTCTACCTGAAGGGGACCCGTCCTCCCCTTCATGTAAGGGGTTGAGTCTGTAATAAGGCTCAAGTTTGGGAATTGATTGAGGGCCGATGACACCGTTTTGTTCATTTAACCTAGAACTTTTCTGCTTATGCAGATGTAGTAAAAATTTACTGGTAGGCTTCCTCTCTTTTTATTTCTAGGAGCACCGTGATCAGCTAACCAATGCCTTAGGTCTGTGCAAGTCACACTTTTCTGATTGCTTCTTTGACTTTGCTGTTCATTATGCAAAAGGAATATCAAGTAGCTGTAATGCAGTAGCTCTGGTGAAAAACTATGGGGAGTATACACTGAGGCATGGCAGCACCTTTTGTCAGCTTGATTTTGATTACACACTGATGCTAGCTGTATTCCTGCAGTGGTAGTCTTTATTGTATTGCATTTTGTGTTTCCTTCCTTGGGTTCAAGTGATTGAGGTTCTCAAGGAAAAGGTTGCTTTCAGCATAATGAGGCAGATTGTTTTGTTTGATAATTGGCAGTGATGGGTTTATGCCCAAACCATCCTGGGATCTTGTTTTCCCATCTTCTTCTGTTTCTGTCTTGAGTCAGTAGGAACAGCAACAACAACACGTTCAAGTGAATAGAATGCATGAGCACTAGATGTTTGTTGAGGCTTGTCATTAAGACAATAGAGAGTTACTAACAGGAGCTTTTCTGTTTCTCTCCAGAGAGGTACTGGTAAACTATATCCATTACTAATCAGGGTGTGAGACACTTAGTAGGGGATTAATACATATTTAATAAAGAAAGGAAGGAACAGAGGACGGGAGGGAGAAAAAGGAAAGGAAAGAAGACCCAAATCTTCTATTTTTATTTTTGTTTCTCTCAGTTAAGAAGATCAGTCATGTGTACTGTGTTAGATTTCTCAGAAACTAGAGATGCTGACTTTGACCAGACTTCTGCTGCCTCTAGTTTCTGTCTCTCATTCTGTTATACCCCTTATCTTATGGTGGGTGGGTCAGAAAGAGGACTAAAAATTAAATGGGATGTATTTGTGTTAGTCAGGTCATGGGATAGAATAGTAGAGATCTGTCAACTCCAGATCCATTTTGCAAAAATAGGCAGCTTATCGCAGACTAAAAAATAATTACAGATACATTTTAATGAGGTAAATACTGTTATTTAGCAGTGATATCATCTTCACAGAGGCCTGCGGAAAAGTCTAGGACTAAGGGAACTAGAGTTTTTTTTTTTTTTTTTGGAGATTATCTGGAATTTGTAGAGCTCCTTCTGTTCTGTGGAAGGGCCCTGCTAGGGATGCTGCCACGTGCTGTTTGCCCTGTGTGGGTGGTCCTCTGCCTCTTTCTTGTTCCATCTTCTTTCCCCCCACAGCCATTTTCTTTTAAACAAAACAACATAGCAGTAGATATGTAAGATAGGTGAGTGAATTCCTTTATTCAATAGAAAATACTGGCATTTTGGCTGAAAAATATTTTCAAGGAAAATTTTTTAGGAATGTGCAATTGGTGGGAGAATTGAACATGAAGTGATAATACATATATAAGATACAAGAAAGCAAGAACAGATTGCTACTTTATCAGCTGTCATGGCTATTTGCCACTCCGACTTGTGAGTGGGGGCATCAAAATTCAGCATCTATATGTGGTAAATAAAAAAACCAATAATAATAGCTGGCAGTGTTTTCACCAGCCCTTCCCAGCCTGATCCAACGATGCAGCAGGTACATGTTTGAGAGCCGTGAGAACGGATATGCGGAGAACACCACCAGCCTGTGCGTGTCTTTTCATTTATTTATAATTTCATCTTGTTTAATGGCATTTCTTTTAACGACTTTTCTTTGAGCCCATGCTAACTTTTAAATACAATCTAAGCTTTATTTTTACATTTTGTTGTTAAGTATAAAAGTGGAACAAAAATGTTTTACCTGTGAGGCTTGAAACTTTTTAGAAGGTGTTGAGGCAGTTCATCCTGGTGTATGGGTTGTCATAGGGAATACTTTTATTTCTGAATTAAATTTGCCAAACTTTTTTTTTTTTTTTTAATGTTACAGAAGCCAAGGCTGCCCCAAGAGATTGTTTCATTGATGTGAATTCTAAAGGTGACAGATTTGGCAATTGTGGTTTCTCTGGCAATGAATACAAGAAGTGTGCCACTGGGTAAGTGGAGGCAAGGTTGTGAAGGAACATGAAAGATTGTAAGACCAGTAGTCTCTAGTATCTTTTATAACTCCTTGCGCCTGCTCACTTTCTCCCCCTTTAATACTGAACTTTTCAAACTTAAACTTTTATAACAGAAGACTTCAGAGAGACTCTGAAAAGAACTAGTAAAATAATTTATTCCTTTTGATGTTAACTGTCTAAAATTTAATAGATTTTAGAATCTTTGTTTTTCCTTATTCTACAATAAGAACCTCAAATAAACACTCTTCCTCTTCTTTTTTTCATTAAAAGATTATGCTGGTAAATGTGGAGGTAAAGGTACCTGCAGTCTTCATTCTGGATGTTGTTATGTTCTTCTTGCTGTATATAATTTTAAAGTGACAGATTAAAACCTTTCTTGTTTCTGTAACATTTGTTTATGGTAAAAATTAATAATTATTAAAAAATTATAAATGAGAAAAAAGTCATCCATACTCTCAATGGGTATATATTTACTAATTTCAATGTATTTCTTCCCCTTTTTTTGTCTCTATGCACTATACAGACACACACTGATATTTTGTATAATTGGAATTAATCTGAAATACTGTGCATCTTTTCGGCCTGCTCGACTTCCTACTTTGCCAATTAGTCTGAGCAACTGTAGTGAAGCCATGTTTGCTAAGAAGAAATAACAATAGTGATCTCCGTGTTGTACAATCCCACTGACATTTTTTAGGTCTTCATGCTACTTGACCTTTCAGTAGCGTTCAACTATGTTGACCGTTTTGTCCTTGAAGAAACCCCTTTCCTTGGCTTCTGTGTGGAAATTTCTTCTAGTATTCTTTTCTGTTTCCAGTTGCTCTTTGAATGTGTTTATTTGTAGGCTCTTCTTTCTCTTCTCAGCCATTAAATGGCGTGAGACACCAGCTATGCTGGCCTGCATGTGGTCTTCTGCCACAGGGCCTCTGTGTGTACTGGTCCTTCTGGCTGGCATGTTCTCCACTCCTCCAGATCTTAGTTTCAAAGACTTCCTCAACTTAACAGAACCAGATGCCCTCTTATAAGTGTTCTTACTGCTGTGAACTTTCTCCCCCTTAATATTAGCCAATTTATTTTGTTCTAATTCTTTAACAATTGGTTATTAATATACGGTGTATTTCACAGGATATTCAGAATTTACCTTTCCTGATATATAAAACAGAGTAGATGGAGGGAAAATGAAAAAAAAAAACCCAAGAAAATATTTCAAAAGGGGATATGAACATGACTTTCGATATCTATCTTGTATAGTTTTAAAAATAGTTGTAGATATAAGTTCTTTTGCATTTATATAGCACTTTTTTTGGGGGAAATCACATTATTATTCTTAATAAATTTTTAGTATATTTAACTTCCATGGGAAGGTTTCATGTCCAAACCACTGCCCTTGTAAGAACAATCATTTAAAAATGATACTATGGGGGCATGTGTGTGGCTCAGTTGGTTAAGCAACTGCCTTCGGCTCACGTTATGATCCCAGGGTTCTGGGATCGAGTCCCACATCAGGCTCCCCCTGCGCTGCGGGGAACCTGCTTCTCCCTCTGCCTCTGCCTGCCACTCCCCTCTGTTTGTGCTCTCTCTCTCTCTGTCAAATAAAGAAATAGAATCTTCAAAAAAAATTTAAAAAATTAAAAAAATAGAAATGATATTATCTTAGAATAAGATAGAGATTTTAAGGGATAATTTTCCATGTAAAAAGAAGATTGAATACAAAACCAGTTCTAAGCATAGAATTTTCATGATTCTTTTATAGTATTTAGGTAAGACCCAGGAGGGCTCTGTTCTGCACTTTGGGGAGATCAGACTGATCTTGGTTAACATAATTTGTCTAAATTAAAATGAGAAAAGTAGGAACATCAATGTTGAAGGAAGGATGAACTTTGAAAAATTCTATGCTGCTTTTTCATTGAATTTGGTATGTTGTGTCTTCTTTATCATTCAGTTCATAATATTTTAAAATTTATATTGTGGTGTCTCCTGTCACTCTTGGTTTATTGAAAGTATATTGCTTAATTTCCAGATATTTGGGAGTATTCTGGTTATCTGGTTGTTTTTGGTTTCTAGTTTAATTCCATTGAGAACATACTCTATGACTTTAATTCTTTGCAGTTTCTTGAGATGTGAATCATTGCCTAGCATATAGCAGTTTTGGTGAATGTCTATGTACAAGTGAAAAAAAGGTGTATTCTATAGTTATTAGATTACATTATTCTATAAGTGTCAAATTAACAGTCTTATTCAAATTTCCTATATCTTTGGGTTGTATGTGTGTGTTTTATGTTTGTCCTTAAATTTCTGAGAGAAGTATGTTAAAATCTTCAGCTATGATTATAAAATTGTCTATTTTTCTTTTTAGTTCTATGAATTTTTTTGCTGTATAGCTTTTGAATTTGTGTTATTAAGTGCTTATGTTACTAGGTGCATCCACATTTAGGATGATTATGTCTCCCAGATGAATTGACCCTTTTATTATTCCCAGATTTTCTTCTTTATCTTTGGAATATTCCTTTGTAGCATTTTTCACAGTTTCATTGTTTATATGACCTTTTGGTGGTCACCCTTCATCCGTCAATGTAAAGTTTAGTGACATGTTTTATCTTTTGTGTTTAGCATAATATTTGGCATATAAAAGTACCTATTAAATATTTGTTGAATGAATGCAGGAACGGATGATATAGCTAATGGGTGGAGAATTAGTGTAACTGATAAAATGAACTGAGCTAAAATCTTGGGATAAGTGGATTAATGCAGACTTGGAGAGAGCTTGCTAAGACATATCTGATCGTTGTCTTTAGCCTGGTTCTGTTCCCATGTTTTTATGAGTAACTTAATGAAATGATAGAAACTACACTTAAGAAACTTATAAATTAGTGGGTAGCTGATTTGAAAAACACTTTATAATAGTAGTATAGTATTAATATAGTCATTAGGAATACACATCTGAAGTCAGACTCTGGGTTTGAATACTGCTTCAGCCACTTCACATCTCTGAGACTTTAGACAAGTTGCCTCACTTTTCTCTTTTTTCCCCTCTGTACTTCATTTTTCTGTAAAATGGGGATAATAATGGTACCTATTTCCAGTTGTTGCTTTGAAGACTGAATGTGTTGATGGATGTTAGGACTAAGAAGAGTGCCTGGTCATTGTAGAACTCATCATTATCATTGTTGTCATCTTTGCTATCATTATAATCATCCTCATCATGGAAAATGTATAAAATCTAGAAAAATCTAAAGAAAGTGATATTTATGGTCCTGCCATCCAGAGATACTTCTTTAAATTTTTGTTATATTTCTTTCTTATGTATTCATGAACATTTGTGCATCATACATGTATGTACATACATATGTGTACTCAGAGATCCACACAGTCTGGTTTATACTATTTTATAAATTCATGTACTTACTTTCCACTATATTAAGAGCGTTTATAGGATGTAACCAGCTTCGTTTAATCATTTCCTTATTTTAGAAATTCAAGGTTTGTAGTAAATTGCTATTTTAAATAGGGTTGTGATATATACAGCTTAAGTATTTGTTTATTTCTCTGCTTATTTTCTTAATAGATTTTTCTCAAAAAGTATGGATAAGTTTTAAGGCTCCTCATGGCTACTTCCAAATTGACCTTCAAAACATTTAATTGATTTATGTTTCCACTGTCCCCTCACCAATGCTGAGTGTTATCTTAAAAGATACAGTTGACCTTTGAACAACATGAGGGTTAGAGGTGCCAACTTCCCATGCAGTGAAAAATTCACTTATAACTTTCGGCTCCCCCAGAACTTAACTACTAATAGCCTACTATTGACAAGAAGCCTTACTGATAACAAAACAGTTGATTAACACATATTTTGTATGTTACATGTATTATATACTCTGTTCTTACAATAAAGTAGGCTAGAGAAAAGAAAATGTTATTAAGAAAATCATAAGGAAGAGAAAATATATTTATAGTCCTGCGAAAAATCCGTGTGTTAAGTGGACCCATGCAGTTCAAACCTGTGTTGTTCTGGGGTTATCTGGACTTTTCCAATTTGTTATATCAAATAGATATTTCATTTTTATTTTAAGTGAATTTGTAAATAATTATTTAAGCTTGTTGTTCAAAACATGTTTAAAGGGATATAGAGAAAAATTCTGGCTTCTACTCTTATCCTTTTTCCCTGTTCCCACCAGAACAGGTGTGTGTTCTTTTAGCAAAAATTTTTGTGTCTTTCCAAAGTCTTTGTGCAAATGCCTAGTTTTATTCCCCATTGTCTTCCACCTCCCTGTCGTGCATACTGCAGACATTGTTGTGCAGATCATATTGTTGTGTGAAAGAGCTGTCTTGTCTTTCAGTATATAAATGGTGTCATCTTTTTTTAAACTTTTTAAATGACAAATTTCAATTATACAGAGGAATAGAAGGAATAGTATGATGAAACCCATATGTCCTAGATTAAAACATTGTTAATAATTTATCATATTTACTTTGTTTAGACTTTGCTGAACCATTTTTAAGTAAATTATAGGCATTATGATATTCACTCCTAAATTCTTTAGCATTCATCTCCAACATATAAGGCCATTCACAATAGCAGTTTCATACCTATCAAAATTAACAATTTCCTAATATCATGTAATACCTGGTCAATATTAAAGTTTCTCCAGTTGTCCTTAAATTGTGTTTCATAGCTGTTTTTTTCCACATCAGGATTCCATCAAGGATCACACATTGCATTTAGTTGTCATGTCACTTAAGTCACTTTTAATCTAAAATAGTCTTCTTCATTTATTTTTTTCTTTTCAGTGATAGTGACCTAAGGAAATAACTGGGCCAGTGGTCTTTTAGAATGGCCCATGTTCTGGATTTGTTAGTTTCTTCTCAGTGTTGCTTAACTTGTGTCTCTATCCCCTGATTTTCTCTATAAATCAGAAGTTAAATATAAAGTCTTAATTAGATTCAGATAAAACATTTTAGGGAAGAATACTTCATAACTGGTACATTATGTCAAGGAGGGACATAATTCTGGGTTGTTCGTTTTATTAATGATACTAGGTGGCGATGACCAGATCTTGCAACTGTAGGGTTATGTTTTTCCCTTTACAACTATCAGATAATATGTGGAGGAGTGATGATTTTATACCATATGAATAGCCAGTTTCCCACCAATGTTTCACCTTGCAGTTTTAGCATGCATTGATGATCCTTGCCAGAAGCAATTATTATATTGAGGCTTGCAGTAGAATTTTCCTTTGTAATATAATAGTGAACATCTCTTAGCTTTGTTGGCTGCTTGCATTCCTTATTTTATGAATTGCCTTTTTTATATCTTTGCTAATTTTTTTCTGTGGAAGTGGTTTTTTTTTTCTTACTGATTTGTAACAGCTTTTTATATATTGAGTATTTTCCTTTTACTCTTTAATATGTCACTAACACTACACATGAAACTCTAGGTATATCATAGCAACATGAATTTTGGTGGGCTCCAACAGATGTTAACTTAGGTCTGCTTTATGCTATGTTTTGTTTTAGAGGTTTTCATACCTAATTTCAACTAACTATGTGAGATAGACATTATTATTTATCTCTTGTTTTTCAGATGAGGGAACTGAAGCTCAGAAAGTGTAAGCACTTTATTCAAGTTAACTAGTGAATAAATGGTGGCATAAGAATAAATGTAAAGTTGAGACAAAATCACTAACTCTTGAGTGCAGGATGGAGGGAAGAGGAGACTTAACAGTATATGCAAAAAGTAAATAGGGGTTTTAGCTAGTGATCAGTTCAAGGGCATCAGCAATGTAATGTACTTACCATGAAAGCTCCTGTAATCTTGGGCCTGATAGTAGTACAGTATCTAACATAAAGGAGATGTGACCTCCCTTTTATTCTTTGCTTGTCGGGCTATAGCTGAAATTTCATGCCCTGCTCTGAGTACTGTGCTTCAAGAGGCAGTGAGACAGACTGGAACATATTTAGAGGGGAACTTCCTTGTTCCCTGAGAAAGGATTGCAAGGTATTGCTCTGTCGAAGTAAGTATTTAGGAACTACGTGATAATTGGCTGCCATGTGGAAGAAGGAGAAGACATTAGCTGTGTGATCGCATGTGGAAAGTCTGGGACCAATGAGGAAAAGTTATAAGGAGATAGATTTTTAACTCAAGAAGTAAAATAGTTTTATGATATCTCGAATGAAAATTTTAGGGAGTGGTGAGTTAGAGGATTAGGTGAGTTGAAGGAAAATAATATCGTATATCACTTGGCAGTGATACCATAGAGGAGATTCAAGTGTAGGGTAGGTGCTTGGATCACAAGACAGCCAAGTAGAAAATTTCAATATAGCATCATAAGAGTTGATGTTAGTGGTATTTAGTGTGTTATGAAGGGTTATAGGAAGGGCATTTAGCTAACACAGCCTTGGTGATAGGAATTATAGTCAGGCAAGCCTTCATAATGCTTGTTATAATGCTGAATCAGTGAATTGAATTAGTGAATTAATGAATTGAGTCTTAAAGTAACTAAGAGAACCCAAGCCGAGAAGGGTGGAGTCTTTTCTTAGTTATTTTACAATACAGAATCTAATTTTCTCCTTACTGTAACTCTATAAGAAGTCACAACTGAACTTTAGTATAGGCTTATTATTTTCTGTGTGAAAGCATTTATAAAATTATATTTATAAACAACTTTTTCCTTAGACTTTTTTGAGCCCTGGACGGATAGTAAAGAGAGATTAGGTGTGGGGAAAGAAGGAGCATGAACACTACCTGGTACCCTACTAATCCCATCTTAGCATCCACTTATCTCTGCCATATTTGAAGAGAACTGCTTTGATGTGTTTGCTCTCATATGCTTTCTCTGTTGAGATTCCCTTCAACTAAATATCAGTAAACTTTCCTTATGTATCCAAATATGTAATTTTCCTTTTGTATCTACACTGGGTGCATTTTATGTTTGCGTTATTCCTCTATCTTTATAGGAATGCATTGTGTGGAAAGCTTCAGTGTGAGAATGTACAGGACATGCCTGTATTTGGAATCGTTCCTGCTATTATTCAGACTCCCAGTAAAGGCACCAAATGTTGGGGTGTGGATTTCCAGCTAGGATCCGATGTTCCAGATCCTGGGATGGTGAATGAAGGCACAAGATGTGACAATGGAAAGGTAATCAAAGTGTTTTCTCTTTATGAAGTAAAATTTAAAAAATTAAAAGACCCTTATACAAAGTAAGTAGTTGTTCTTTTCTGATTTATAAAAGAAATCTATATTTATTATAGAGATTTTGGAAAATACAAAGCCACCAAGGACAAAATTAAGAATGATTGTTATTCTACTATCCAGATTTCACTGGCAGTCATCTATTTTTTTTTACACTATTATTATTTTTTTATTCTTATGTTAATCCCCATACATTACATCATTAGTTTTAGATGTAGTGTTCCATGATTCATTGTTTGTGCATAACACCCAGTGCTCCACGCAGAATGTGCCCTCCTCAGTACCCACCATCAGGCTAACCCATCCTCCCACCCCCCTCCCCTCTAGAACCCTCAGTTTGTTTTTCAGAGTCCATCGTCTCTCATGGTTCGTCTACCCCTCCGATTTCCTCCGCTTCATTCTTCCCCTCCCGCTACCTTTTCTTCTTCTTCTTCTTTTTTTTTTTTCTTAACATATATTGCATTACTTGTTTCAGAGGTACAGATCTGAGATTCAACAGTCTTGCACAATTCACAGCGCTTACCAGAGCACATACCCTCCCCAGTGTCTATCACCCAGTCACCCCATCCCTCCCACCCCACCCCCCACTCCAGTAACCCTCAGTTTGTTTCCTGCGATTAAGAATTCCTCATATCAGGGCGCCTGGGTGGCTCAGTCGTTAAGCGTCTGCCTTCGGCTCAGGTCATGATCCCAGGGTCCTGGGATCGAGTCCCGCGTCGGGCTCCCTGCTCAGCAGGGAGTCTGCCTCTCCCTCTACTCCTCCCCCCTGCTCATGATCTCTCTCTCGCTCTCTCTCAAATAAAAAAAAAAAAAAAAAAGAATTCCTCATATCAGTGAGATCATATGATACATGTCTTTCTCTGTTTGACTTATTTCACTCAACATAATACCCTCCAGTTCCATCCACGTCATTGCAAATGGCAAGATCTCATTCCTTTTGATGGCTGCATAATATTCCATTGTATATATATACCACCTCTTCTTTATCCATTCATCTGTCGATGGACATCTTGGCTGTTTCCACAGTTTGGCTATTGTGGACATTGCTGCTATAAACATTGGGGTGCACGTACCCTTTTGGATCCCTACTTTTGTATCTTTGGGGTAAATACCCAGTAGTGCAATTGCTGGATCATATGGTAGCTCTATTTTCAACTTTTTGAGGAACCTCCATACTGTTTTCCAGAGTGGCTGCACCAGCTTGCATTCCCACCAACAGTGTAGGAGGGCTCCCCTCTCTCCGCATCCCCACCAACATCTGTCGTTTCCTGACTTGTTAATTTTAGCCATTCTGACTGGTGTGAGGTGGTCTCTCATTTAGGTTTTGATTTAGATTTCCCTGGCAGTCATCTATTATAATCCCTGGTCTATGTCGCAATATACTGTGCATATTTCTTTCCCTGATCAATGTGCTCTAATTTATTAGCCAGTCGGCTGTTATGGGGGCACTTAGGTGATTGCCAGGATTGTGTGGGTTTATATGCTTATGTGTCTCTGTACTAGAAATGTCATAGTGCACATCATAGTGCACATCTACCCACGCTTCCTGCTACCCTCATCACCGCGGTTTGGATCAGATAGGAGGCAAGAATTAGCCAGCTCCTGACTTACTACTAGTGGTTTCTGTATGAGAAGATGAGCTAGGCCAAATTCCTTTGGGGGGGGGAATATATATTAAGAAAGATAATTAAGAGTAGTGAAGAAACTGTAAGAATTCTTTAGTGATGCCATGAATTAAGAGCAGGGCTAGAAGGATTATGGCAAACTTCAGTCATATATAAGAGATATAGGGGAGTAAGAGTGTTGAGCAAGTTGAAGAAACCAACTTAGAGGAGAATAGAGATTGAGGAGGAGGGGGAGAGAACATAACTGACTAATAACGTGACACGTGAAAAAGACAGGTGGACTTGCAAGTTACCTCAATGTCTACAGAGTTTTCAGTACCAATTCTGTCCTTTCCTTCTTAGAAAAAGACCCTTTTATTTTTTGCCTGTCTTTGCCACTGTAAAAACTCAATTGCTGTAGTTACTATAAATAGTGCTGAGGCAAATGGCTTTATAAATAAAACTTTCAGAATATTGTGATTGTTTTCTGAGGTTAAACTACTATAATGGGGTATGCATGTCTTTTTTTTTTTTTTAAGATTTATTTATTTATTTGAGAGAGAGACCATGAACGGTAGGGGCTGAGGGAGAGGAGAGGGAGGGCGAATCTCAAGCAGACTCTGCACTGAATGTGGAGTCTGACAGGGGCGCCATCCCACAACCCTGAGCTCATGACCTGAGCTGAAATCCAGAGTCAGACGCTCGACCCACTGAGCCACCCAGGAGCCCTGGGTGTGCATACTTTTAAGGTTTTAGATAGAGTTTTACCAGATTTCTCTTTAGAAAAGTATTTGATAGTTTACCTTCCAACCAGTTTTCAGTGGGAAGTGTTTAAATTCTTCATAACATAGTCAAGATTAGCTATCATTTTAAAGCTTTCATTGGTGGTTTCCTTTTTATTTTATCCTTTCTTATTAGTGATGTCAAATTTTTTTTTGTCTCTCTATATTTATTCCTTCTTTTTTGATTTGCTGTGGTGATGTTCTTTGTGCACCTGTTTTCTTATTGATTTACATGACCAGATATTAAAAATATATTATAAAACCAATAAAAATTGGCACAAGACAGTACAAACACATGAGTAGTTAGAAATATCAGTAGGCATGAAGAGAAGAAAACAGAATGAAGCCCTAGAATATATACAAATTTAATAGGTACTTTAAATAAGATTTCAAATTAAAGGAGAGAGATTATAAATGAGGTTAAGGCAAATAATAAACTATTCTGAAGAAAATGACATTAGAACTCAGCACACAGTAATGATTCTGAATGAATAAATGATAAAAGGGGGGAAAAAAGAATGCCAACCTCATACTGTATACACTCCACATTCCCCTAGATTAAAGGGGAATTAAATAAAAAACAAAATCTACTAGAAAATACCAGAGAATAATGATCTGATATTATACTGAGAAAGGTCTTATAAAATATTTAAGTAAAGTTAGAAACCGTAAAGGAAAGGAATAACAGATTTGAATACATAAAAATGCAAATATAGCAAAAAAATTACTAAAATCGAAAGAAGAGGCAAGAAATAAACCAGGCAAAAATATTATATATATTTATATATTATATATTTATATGTAAATCACATTTATTATATATGACATAAATTAATAAAAGTGAAAAGTTGAAAGTGAAGGGATAGAAAAAGAATAAAAACCTGCTATGTTAACTATAATCACTATATTGAATATTAGATACCCAGAACTTACTCGTCTTATAACTGGAAGTTTGTACCATTGGACCAAAGTCTCCTCATTTCTCCCACTCCCCAACCTCTGGAAACCACCATTCTACTCTCTGTTTCTGAGTATGACATTTTTTTAAGGTTCTACATATAAGTGAGATCGTATGGTATTTGTCTTTCTTTGTCAGACTTATTTTACTTAGAATAATGCCCTCAAGGTCTATGCATCTTGTTGCAGTGGCAGGATTGGTTGTTCAGGAGTGTGTTGTTTGTTTGTTTGTTTATTTATTTATTTATTTATTTATTTATTTATTTATTTGTAAAGATTTTATTTATTCATTTGGTAGAGAGAGAGAGAGAGTGCAAGCAGGTGGAGCAGCAGGGAGAGGAAGAGGGAGAGGGAGATGCAGGCTCCCTGCCAATCAGGGAACCCGATGTGGGGCTCGATCCCAGGACCCTGGGATCATGACCTGAGCCAAAGGCAGACGCTTAACTGACTGAACCAGCCAGGCACCCCTGTTGTTCACTTTCTACATTTTTATGAATTTTCCATTTTTCCTCTTGTCACTAATTTCTAGTTTCAAACTATTGTGGTTGGAAAAGATACTAGATATGATTTCAGTCTTAAATTTGTTAAGTCTTGCTTTGTCGCCCGACATAAGTAGTATCCTGTAGAATGTTCTGTGTGTGCTTGAGAAGAGTTACGTATTCTGCTGCTGTCACGTGGACTGTTCTGTTTATGTTTGTTAGATCCATTTTGGTCTATAAAGTTCTGTAGGTCTGCGGTTTCCTTATTAAATTTCTGTATGTGTGATCTATCCAATGTTGAAAGTAGGGTATTGAAGTCCACTGCTATTATTGTATTGTCTATTTCTCCCTTCAGTTTTGTTATTATTTGCTTTAAATATTTAGGTGCTCCAGTGTAGGGTGCATAAATATCTAAAATTATTATATCCTCATGATGAATTGATTCCTTTATCCCCTTTTCATGACCTTCTTTGTCTCTTACAACCAGTTTTGACTAAAAGTCTATTATATGTGATAGAAGTATAGCCATTTACGTGGAATATCTTTTTCTGTCCCTTCACTTTCAACCTGTGTGCCCTTACTTCTAAAGTGAGCCTTTTTTTTAAATCTATTCAGTCACTTTATGTCTTTTAATTGGGAATTTAGTTCATTTATTTTTAAAGTAATTATTGATAGGTATTGATTGCCATTTCATTGTTAATTGTTTTTCAGTTCTTTTGTTCCTTTCCTCCTCTCTTACTGTCTTCCTTTGTGATTTATTTTTTTGTACTGTGTACTTTTGCATGTCTACTATGTTTCTTCTTCAGTGGTTATCATGAGGCTTATATGAAACATTTTGTAGATGTAACAGTCTATTTTAAGCTAATAATAACTTACCTTCAATTGCATACACAAGCTCTACACTTAATTCTCTCATATTTTAAACTATTGATGTCATGCTTTGCACCTTTTTATATTGTGCCTCCATTAATAAGTTATTAGTTATTTTTATTTTTTTAAGTTTTATACTAGAGCTGAAGTGATTTACAGATCACCATTACAGTATTAAGGTATTCTGAATTTAACTATGTATTTCCTTTTACCATGGGTTTTATGGTTTTATATGTTTTCATATTGTTAGTGTC